AAGACCCTGGCCCTGCACTAAGCATTAAGCAACAAGACCCAAGCTCTGAACTAAGCATTGAGTAATAAGACCCCAGCCATGCATTAAGCAATAAGACCCTGGCCCTGCACTAAGCATTAAGCAACAAGACCCAAGCCCTGCACTAAGCATTAAGCAATAAGACCCAAGCCATGCACTAAGCATTAAGCAACAAGACCCAAGCCATGCACTAAGCATTTAGCAACAAGACCCAAGCCATGCACTAAGCATTAAGCAACAAGACCCTAGCCATGCATCAACCAATCAGACCCTAGCCCTGCATTAAGCAATAAGACCCCAGCCTTACACCAATCATTAAGCAATAAGACCCCAGCCCTGCACCAATATTAAGCAATAAGACCCCAGCCCTGTACCAATCATTAAGCAATAAGGCCCCAGCCCTGTACCAATTAAACAATAAGACTCCAGCCCTGCACCAATCATTAAGCAATAAGACTCCAGCCCTGCACCAATCATTAAACAATAAGACCCCAGCCCTGCACCAATCATTAAGGAATAAGACCCCAGCCCTGTACCAATCATTAAGCAATAAGACCCCAGCCCTGTACCAATCATTAAACAATAAGACTCCAGCCCTGCACCAATCATTAAGCAATAAGACCCCAGCCTTACACCAATCATTAAGCAATAAGACCCCAGCCCTGTACCAATCATTAAGCAATAAGACCCCAGCCCTGTACCAATCATTAAACAATAAGACTCCAGCCCTGCACCAATCATTAAGCAATAAGACCCCAGCCTTACACCAATCATTAAGCAATAAGACCCCAGCCCTGCACCAATCATTAAGCAATAAGACCCCAGCCCTGCACCAATCATTAAGCAATAAGACTCCAGCCCTGCACCAATCATTAAGCAATAAGACCCCAGCCCTGTACCAATCATTAAGCAATAAGACCCCAGCCCTGTACCAATCATTAGGCAATAAGACTCCAGCCCTGCACCAATCATTAAACAATAAGACCCCAGCCCTGCACCAATCATTAAGCAATAAGACTCCAGCCCTGCACCAATCATTAAGCAATAATACCCCAGCCCTGTACCAATCATTAAGCAATAAGACCCCAGCCCTGTACCAATCATTAAGCAATAAGACAAGACCCCAGCCCTGCACCAATCATTAAGCAATAAGACCCCAGCCCTGTACCAATCATTAAGCAATAAGACAAGACCCCAGCCCTGCACCAATCATTAAGCAATATGACCCCAGCCCTGTACCAATCATTAAGCAATAAGACAAGACCCCAGCCCTGTACCAATCATTAAGCAATAAGACTCCAGCCCTGCACCAATCATTAAGCAATAAGACTCCAGCCCTGCACCAATCATTAAGCAATAATACCCCAGTCCTGCACCAATCATTAAGCAATAAGACCCCAGCCCTGCACCAATCATTAAGCAATAAGACCCCAGTCCTGCACCAATCATGAAGCAATAAGACCCCAGCCCTGTACCAATCATTAAGCAATAAGACCCCAGCCCTGCACCAATCATTAAGCTATAAGACCCCAGCCCTACACCAATCATTAAACAATAAGACCCCAGCCCTGCACCAATCATTAATCAATAAGACCCCAGCCCTACACCAATCATTAAAAACAATAAGACCCCAGCCCTGCACCAATCATTAAGCAATAAGACCCTGGCCCTGCACTAAGCATTAAGCAATAAGACCCCAGCCCTGCACCAATCATTAAGCAACAAGACCCAAGCTCTGAACTAAGCATTAAGTAATAAGACCCCAGCCATGCATTAAGCAATAAGACCCAAGCCCTGCATTAAGCATTAAGTAATAAGACCCCACCCATGCATTAAGCAATAAGACCCCAGTCCTCATTTTTTATAACACTTACATCATGTGGCTATAGTACTCTGATACTTGCTTATTACTGCATAATGACAAGTGAGCTTACAACCAAATAAGTACAAAACAGATATATTCCTTCAGGAATCAAACCCGTGACCTGACGCACCTGAGACGACGATTCTGCCAACAGGTCAATTAAGATTACGGAAGAAATGAGACAGTCAAGTCGCACACATTTGGGAAAACCTTGAAATATTTTGTATTGCACGAAATGTTCAATACATACACACCTTCAATACAAATAAACCCTTCTAATCCGAAAATGTAAACACTTTGGTCAACGTAGCTATTTTTATTGTGTCCCTTTAATGCATACATTTGCATGCAGAATATCAGCTCATATCCCCATTATAATCAATTGTTAAAGGATTTAATTTAGCTAAGTGAAATTTTGTTTCAAAATGGCCTCCATTTTTCTGCTGAGTGAGCTGTATAAATGGTTGATCCGTTGAGTTTGAGGTTCTTTCCGAAAAGAAATTTTGAAATATCTAAATCCAGACAAGCAATGCACCAACCTCAACATAATTATCCCAACGAAGTTCAGTAAGGATATAGTGAAGCCATCCATCAGTCAATCCGGAAGATAACGCGAGTACTAGTAGAAGAATATTCTTCATATTTGCTGGAAAGATGTATATTGGTGAATAGTTTTACACAAATTTTTTTTTTCAAGATGGCCGCCGCTTTAGAAATTTTTTGTTCAATTTAAGGCCAGAACAAACTTCGAATTTTTCTAAGATTTTCATTATTTCTGTAACAGATTCTTCATTTTTAAGTTTTTTTTTTTTTTATAAAAATATTTATTCAAAAACATAAACGCAAAATACATAAACACAAACAATACTTAAGTCAATAAAACTATGCACAAACGGAAATATACATATATCCTGGATTAGAATTTATACATTAGTAAAATAGGATTTTCACAGCATTATATACTCTATCAAAATTTTGATCCTTATACAATAGTAAAAGTCCAGAAAATCCATTCAATCTTAGTAAGCAGCAAAGGCATTTATAATTTTCTTAAAATCATGAGCAATATTTACTTTTCCTTGCAGTTTAAAAATGTGTTCATAAATATTTAATTTTAATTAATATTCATTTTTAAGTGTAACTGTGACATAATCAGCTTACTGACATGCTTTTATTTCCTGATCACGAATTGTAACACCCTGAACATTTGTATTTTGTTTCACTGCAAGGCAGAGAATCTCAATGACAATTACAAAAAGTAATCCTGACAGGGGGTCACCTTGTCTCACTCCTCTGTGTACTCTAAAAAAGCTAGAGGACTCGCCATTATTAATGACACAACTGTTTGAATTTTTGAAAAAAATTAATGAACATATTGCTAAATCCTAAGGCTTCCAATGTTTTTTCAATAAAATTCCATTTGACAGAATTTACTTTAGGTGGGTATTTTGCACTCTAGCAGCCATCTTGGAAGTTTTTAGATAAATCTTGTTATCGCGATTTCAGGAAAACCACTAAACAGATTTGCTTCAAATTTTCACACATGTTACATGGTAAGAAGTTCTAAGAATTGGTGGCCATTTTCGGTGGCCATCTTGCATTCAGGCGGCTACTGGAATTTATGAGATAATAGTACGAAACAAAAAGTTAAAAAAGACCTTAGTTAAGCTTTAATGTCTTGTTTGAGAACCCCTATTCTAACTTTTGAAATTGGATTCTAGTAATATTTCTTTTTAACTTGTACAAAATTGATGAGAATAGGCAAATATTATATACAAAAGCCTGTGAAATTTTACCTAATTTGGATTTACAAAGTGAAAATTTATTAGTCAATCTTATTTCTAGTGAAAATGTAACCTTGCAAAGACATATTGGCAAATTCATTTACCATTCATTTAAGAATTAAGCATAGTCATAATGCATTGTATGTGCACCACACTATTATCGTTACCTTATATATTTTTAAATATTTTTGTATTTTTAGTTTAGTTAGTGTTAAGGATTTACTTCAAATTGTCACACATGGTACATGGTAAGATATTATTCACCCTCTGCCTTGTCTAGAGTACATACAAAATCAATGAAGTCACATTTTAATGTAAGCTTAGACTCGAGTAAGCTGTTAACACATTTAGGCTACCAAAGAATATATGAGTTGATGAGACACTGTAAAAAATCATTTTCAAGTTCTCAGATCTCTTGATTTTTCAAATTGATTTTCTGGATTAAAATTAAGATATATCTAATCACCAAACATCTACTGAGGTCTAAAAAAGTAAAATTTACAAGGTCAAAGGTCAAGGTCATCAAACCAAACCACAAACAGTGTTTTCTAAGTTTCTCAAAATTGGTGACTACAAATCGATATTTTTGGATTAAAGTCAGGATATAAATTCTTCTTAAGGTTCTTCACATTAGCAATTGACTATCTATTAAAATTTGCACCAGTTATGAGATATTAGAACTCAAAAATTGAAAAAAGGTCAAATTTCGAAATTTTTCAAGACCACCAAACTTTCTTTTAAAAATCATCGACAAGTTCTCAGGAATGCAAATCTGACCTTAGTTTTGACATTGACCTTTAGTTGACCTTCAGTGACCTTCGAAAGGTAAAAAAATGTTGATTTTTCAAATTGATTTTCTAGATACAAATTTAGAAATCACAAAAGACCTACTGAGATCTATAAAAGTAAAATTTGCAAGATCAAAGGTCAAGGTCATCAACTAAATCACAAATTGTGTTATCTAAGTTTCTCAAAGTTCGAGACTACAAATCAATATTTGTTGATTTAAAGTCTGGATATATATTCCTCTCAAGGTTCTACACATATTAGCAATTGATTATTTGTTAAAATTTTGCACCAGTTTGAGATATAAGAGTTCAAAAACAGAAAAAGGTCAAATTGCGAAATTTTTCAAGACCAAATTTTTACTTGCTTCAAATTGAAAACATCATGTACGGGTAGTTCATATATGATCTTAGATTTGAGGATTCACCTTCGACTGACCTTCAAATTGTCAACTAATCCTCTATAAGATTGCTTGCAATCTTAAACCTCTAGATATTAATCTTTGTTTTTGAAAATATAATTAGATGATTTGTGCCATGTATTTCCAGGTTGTGATTGTACGATGGAATGAGCCATACCAGAAACTTGCAACGTGTGATGCAAATGGGATTATTTATGTTTGGATAAAGCATGAAGGAAGGTGGTCGATAGAACTGGTCAATGACAGGAACATTCAGGTAATTTACAACCAGAGAATTTCTTAAGAATGGATAAATTGGAGAAGAATGATACGTTCTTGAATATGCCATTTCTTTAGCTTCTTTATTTGATCTTTTCCATTTTGTGTTTGATATTTAATTTTTCTTGCTTGAATTTTCACTTTTCAATTCAAACTTTCAAATTTTTGTTCATTTTTTCAATTCTATGCTTGATAATTCATATTTTTGCTTGATATTATATTGATATTTCAAATGAGCAATTACACGTCTCATTGATGTTTGAATCAAAAGACAAGTCTCGCTTTGGAGAAAAGTCTACTGGGCTAATAATGTTTTTTTCATGAAAAATATAGAATTAACACCCAAATTAAATTATGAATATTCAAAAGAAAACATTTAAATCTATAATACCGTATTATCTCTAATAGACGCACACACTCCAATAAACGCACATCCGACTTTTCCAAGAAAGACTGGCAACTTGAAAAACAAAAATCAAGAAAAATACAATTTATTCCAGCGGGCGATAATAGGGTTAATATTGAATAATTCACTTACCGCTATCGATAGAGCCATTTTTGTACATAATGCTGTTACAGACGTGTCTCCTGAATATCAAGAACTATAACTACATTCATGATAACCTTAAAGTGATGAGTTAAAAGCTATAATAAACGTCAATTATGACCTGTCACCATTACAAACACTCGCAGTGCATTATGGGGAGTTCCGATCTTTAAACATATCTTTTGCCTTTTCCCACAAACAAATATTCAATCATTTATAAACATTTAGGAGTATTATGTGGATATAAAACATATTTTCATTGACTATGAAGACCATTCAGATACAAGAAGCCTTTAGATTTTAACTCGGGTATCGGCATCAATTTTAAAAATGGCGTCTGCTCGGATCGATTGGAGTGGATGTTTATCATCAACATTGATGCATATTATGTCAACTAACCCATGGAAACACATCCAGCAGATTGATAAATGCATGAGGAAAACATTGAGGTATGATAATATGTTATCTAGTTGGAGTGAGTCTAGTCGCAAAATATTGTAGGAGAAAATCAGGAGAAAATACATCAAACCTACATCATTGTCTTTGCTTCAAATCGGTTAAATAGTTACATTGTACATCTAAAGTGTACTCCGGTATATTTTGTCACTGTACCTTGTCGATGGTTAGGCGTGTTGTCTTCTTGTCTCAGGAGGGAGTCAGTTTAAGTTGTTGAGAACTTTGGTAGTAGTCGTTCCATGTAAACACCCAGAGCAGCAAAGTGCTGCCTGGTAATAAAATTTAACAAGTCTACCAAGGAGTTTTTTTAAAATAATCTGTGATAAAGAAGTGTACCATAGTCGAACTGAGGAAGTATATATGAGTTAAAAATTGTCTCTAGATACTTTGAATTTAACTTGTGCTTTAGTTTTATTAGTGGATTTAACATTTGGTTGACCTTTTCAAATATATCTTCAATGTGGATTGAGTTTTCAAGGTAAGAGTCAAAGTGAAAGCCCAGGTGTTTATGGGAGTTTTCTCTTTTAATCAATTTGTCATTTAAGAGGGAAATGTTGATATTTGGATTTCTAGTTCTGTTGCTATGGAAAATCATCTAAGAGCTCCATAGCTCATATGGTGAGCTATTGTTATCGCCTACTAGTCCGTCCGTACGTCCGGCAGTTTTTTTCCAAAACCGCTACAGATATCACCTTCAAATTTTCAGGGATAACTTATGAAAGCATACAGATGTGGATGAAAAAAATTTAACTCGATACCTACTTCCTGTCGGCCATTTTGAATTCAAATGCTAAAATCCTTGTCTTCAAACTTTAAAAAAAACAGCTTCACAGTTGCTTTTAAAACTTTGACATCTTGTTCAGCTCACTTCATTCTACATCTGATTAGGTTTTGGACCTGTTAGCTCAGTCATGTCAGCTATTTTGAATGTCTTAAGAAAAGTTGGCGCGCGATAATACTTTGTATCAGTATTGAATGGTGTTTTTCAGTTATCATACTTTAACTATTTAGTAACTTTATGAATAATTTCAGGTGTACTTTGTTGTAAAAGCCTATGTTATTGTTAACAGTAGTTATATGTGATAATTTTGTAAAAAGAAATCAGCAAAAACTCATAATCACTTTTTTATTGTCAGCCATTTTGGATTTTTCCGTCTTAAAATCTTGTCTGTAAAGTCTTGTCTACGCATTTCCAGGTGAACCGTTTGGTAGATCAATTTCAAATTTTCAGGGATGATTCTTAGTATGAAAATCTAGATCTGATTATTTCTTTGGCATTCTGGATAAATGTCAAGGCAGCCATTTTGGATTTTCCATCTTAAAATCTTGCGCGTAAAGTCTTTTCTACGCATTTTTAGGTGAACCATTTGGTAGATCAATTTCAAATTTTCAGGGATGATTCTTAGTATGAAAATCTAGATCTGATTAGTTCTTTGGCATTCTGGATAAATGTCAAGGCAGCCATTTTGGATTTTCCATCTTAAAATCTTGCGCGTAAAGTCTTTTCTACGCATTTGTAGGTGAACCATTTGGTAGATCAATTTCAAATTTTCAGGGATGATTCTTAGTATGAAAATCTAGATCTGATTAGTTTTTGGGCATTCTGGGTAAAAGTGCGCGGCAATTTTGGATTTTCCGTCCTAAAATCTTGTCTGTAAAGTCTTGTCTACGCATTTCCAGGTGAACCGTTTGGTAGATCAATTTCAAATTTTCAGGGATGATTTTTAGTATGAAAATCTAGATCTGATTATTTCTTTGGCATTCTGGATAAATGTCAAAGCAGCCATTTTGGATTTTCCATCTTAAAATCTTGCCCGTAAAGTCTTTTCTACGCATTTTAGGTGAACCATTTGGTTGATCAATTTCAAATTTTCAGGGATGATTCTTAGTATGAAAATCTAGATCTGATTAGTTTTTGGGCATTCTGGATAAATGTCAAGGCAGCCATTTTGGATTTTCTGTCCTAAAATCTTGTCTGTAAAGTCTTGTCTACGCATTTCTGGGTGAACCGTTTAGTAGATCAATTTCAAATTTTCAGGGATGATTCTTAGTATGAAAATCTAGAACAGATTAGTTTTTTGGTATTCTGGATAAATGTTTAGGCAGCCTCTTTGGATTTTCCATCCTAAAATCTTGTCTGTAAAGTCTTGTTTACATGTTTTCTGGTTAACTGTGTGACGGATCAATTTCAAATTTTCAGGGGTGGTTCTTAGTATGAAAATCTTTTTGAGAGATTCCGAACTCTTCTCTTATAATCTGAAAATAATATCAAAACAAATGGTAAGAGCGTTTCTAAAATAGTGTCCTAAATTGACGGAGCGTTAAGAGGAAAGCAGGTGATTTCTCGAGAATAAGTAATGGATTTGGACTGGGATTTTAGGAAATGAAAATATAAGAGTTTGTGATAAACTACTTTGACAGAAAGTTTTACGTTTTCATATAAATACTAGTTTAATCCGTAATTTGTGGTCAATTTGTCAACTTCAGATTCCTTCGATCTACATTACGGAGCTTTGATCAAACAAATAACACCACAAGAAGTTGAATAAATGAGATCTTTGCTCAGGGTATTGTTCATCGATTGGTACACAATATGCCACCATAAAGTATGATATGTAAGAGAAACGAGTGAAAGAGTACTTACGGTCATAGTGGAATCTTCATTAGCCGCCGTTTTATTTTGCTCCGCAGCATGTCTGTGTGAATGAAACGCTCTGTCGTGCATGTAAGAGCGTTTGGGTTGGACACCATGTATCTAGTCCTGACAAAATGTACATTTGCATGATACAATATGCTGCAATGAAATGTGTTAAAGCTTTCTGTCGAGATTACCTGTGATTACAATGTTAGACCATATTTCAGTTACATCATTACATTCATTGATCCGCTCTAGGCCGATAAATTATTTATGTTGAAAATGCATGACATTATTCTGATATAAACATATGCTAAATTGAGGCTTTTTGATCATACAACTAAAGTTTCCAGTGGCCGATACATATCCAAGTAAAGACCAGATACTTGATTGATTGTTCTAGTTATTATAGAACTGTATTCAAGTGTATTCAAATGATTGAACACGATAAATTGATATTGAGTTAACTATAATCGTATGTATGCTAAATGTAAGACGTTATGACATCTGGTAGGTTTAAAATTCAAATTGACAGTTTTTTGGGATGTAGTGGTTTCGATATGTCCCATATAGTTGGTACCCCATGATAAAACAAATGTATTTACCACAAGAGCCCACTGCAGCGACTTTCAAAAAGTACCCTATTCATATGCATATAGATATAAGTTTGCCATATATGGTATACAGATGGATGGACGGTTAGGACGGAGGCTTTCTCTATATCACTCCACTATATGTCTGTCAGTCATCTAGTACTAGCATTTGAAGAGTTTGTGTTTTTACTCTGGGAAGGTTGGCTGGTCATGGCCACAACTTAATAAAAGTTTTTATATCCTCATATTTTCATTTCATTCAATAGTTTTAAGATGACTTTGTACCTTCCCATTCCATTTTTAGATTAAGATCATATTGGCTATGGTAATTACCATGGAGTATATTTATTCTGCTTTGCACAAGAATTGTATCTTTTGATTTACAATAATTTCTTTTAGTTATTGTAACACAAACTTTAAAATATTCTTTTGATTTACAATAATTTCTTTAAGTTATTATAACACAAACTTTAAAATATTCTTTTGATTTACAATAATTTATTTTAGTTATGATGTTTAACTAGCATATTTCATGCATTGTTTGATACATGATGAAATATTCAAATCATAACACTCTTTTTACTCAAGTGTAGGCCTATATTTTTGAGGGTGACAACATTAGAATTTTATGCCTAAGTTACTTCAAGAGTTTCATCAGCATGATCAAATCCTCATCAAAAGCAAGAAATTGCTTCATCAAAATCCAATTAAAACATGAAGCATCTCAGAATTATTACCCCATTCATTATGCTATGAAAGAATGGTGC